GCCGGTGCCCGAGGAGGTACGGTCAGGGCTACACACACCCCTGCCCCAGCTCCAGGATCTCTCTCATCAGGAACCCTCCTATCTCTGCAAGTGGTCAGGGGCTGATTCTGACTCAGCTGGGTGATTCTCCAATTAATTTGTAATAACGTCTTAACACATGGAGCTGCTCAGGGAGCTGCAGCAGGGTGAGGTAAAAATGAGACCTTCAAAGCTTTTGTTTTGTTAGATCAGTTTTGACCCCAAATTACATAGATTATTCATCATATTTTATTCACTGATACAGAAATAAGAAACCCTTCATGCTGTCTTCAGATTACATGTACAAGGGAATATCTGAGGGTGCTCTACTCCAAAGCAGCATGCCAGAGCATGGGAAAGATTTAATTTCACCCTAAACCACTCCTGCCCACTGTGGCTGAGCAGGAAATAAGGAATACAAAACGTTTGCATCCTGTTAGACATTCCTATGATGGGTATAATTAGTTAAGGTCAAACACCAGTGTAAATCTTTCATTCCCCTGCAACAAAGAAAGTAGCTACATTTCATAACCTAGCAGTTTCCTCTTCATCCCCATTGCTATGAGCCTCTACTAACATTTATTACATTCCCCCTTCTTCGATGCTCATGTCCTGACTGCAGGATCGGAGAGTGGTTAGCTGCATAATACTGCCATTACATTTTTGTAACACGCCATTTCCTATGGATAGATTGCAAAGTGTTTAACAAAAAACACATTCAGGAACGAGATGGGAAGTTACTCAAGGTCACCCAGCAAACAAGCAGAAGAGCCAGTGAAGGTGATACCTCTTGCAAGGCCCAGCAAAATGGGCTTTCCACCAAGCTGTGCTGCTGTACCTGCTGACAGCTGAAGTGTTGTCTTTGTTGGAAGATCAGCAGTGATGAAACCAGACCATTTTGAGGGAATTGCAAAGGTACAGATGTTCAAACGCAGTGTCTTTACTGAATGTTGAAAGCCGTAATGTTCACGTTTGCCTAAATCCTTCCTGCTATGAACAGTCATCCAAAGAAATGAATGCCTTCAATTTTGCAGACTTCAGAATAATTTTATATATTTACCTCTTGGGCTCTTCTGGAATTCATAAATCACACTTAATGAGAAGTATTAGCACACACTTACTGCAATTACGTGATGAATGTTTGATTTCTGGCTTACAGCCTGAAAAATACATAGATTTCTGTGATCTCTAGAAAGGTAAAGATGAAACCTCATGTTTTAATTAGGGGCTAATAGCTTTAGTTCACTCCAATGCAAAGGCCTTTGGTTTTTTAAAAGCTTTCCAACCCAGCTGAAGTCTGCTATTCAATTAGTCTGGAGTTATTCATCAGCTGGTCAAGCAATGACAGCCTTTCTAAGAAGCTAGTGCTTTCTCCATAAGAGCTTTAACTCTGGGGAAAAAATGCATTGCTTTTACATCCTCTGGCTGCACCGGTGCTGCTAAATTGCTGGTGGAGACTGAGTTCAGCAAATTCAGCAGGTCCTACCACTGCAGCTATGCAGGATTAAACCCCTGAGCCTGCCTGTATTTCACTAGTGAGCGCTACTGGAGCTGCTGCAACACTGTGAGGAAAAAATGGGAAAAAAGAATTTCCGTATGAATCTGCATTGTCTTGAACAGAAGTATTAAGATTGGTATAAACGCTGTATGACTGGAAATACGTGTGTGTGTGTGTAAGCACCAGAACAATTAAAAGAAAGGCCTATATGGATAGTGAGGGATGCCGTTTCATCAAATGGAGGAACGCATTGCTGCTGTTGACCCCCGGAGGCCCCATGCTGGTGAGACCACAGCACAGATGGCCCCTGAACAGAAGGCCCCACACTGACAGCAGGACAGTGGCCAGAGGTTACAGCAAATCACATAGGCCAGTCCTCCTTCTGATAGCCCATTGGGCTAACAGCAAGACAATAGCAATAGGATATAAATGATATCCTAAAGGATATAAAGGATTTGTCCAAAAACTTAGTTCATCATTGACAACCAAGAAGAACCCAGGAGATGAATTGAGGATTTGACTCCTCCTCCATGTTGTGCACCAGCAATCCTGGTCAGACCATTTCACCAGGTATACCATGAGAGTATGGCTGCGTAAAATCAATTTGCTTAATGACTTTGAATAATACAATCCCCTTCCCCTTCCATAAGATCTTTCAGTGAGTTTTGTAACGCTAATTTCCTATGAACCAAGTGAAAGCGAGAAAAGGCATGGTAACCACTGTTGGGTTGCAATCATCAAATTGCTGTCATCTGAAAGAAACATGGACACACTGGGTCTCAAGTAGCTTTATGTCGTGTGCGCTAAACAGAATTTCACCTCAAAAGAGCAGCTACGCGGGCCTACCCAAGTCCTCTGCAGCACAAGGTTTCCTCCCTAAAGACGAGGTGAGTGTTACCGGGAGCAGGTGACTGCAGCCACCCCACCCCACCCGTGCCCCAGGCACTGAAGCACGTATGGCAGGAGCTATACATCGTGAACTATGAGAGGGGAAAGCAGTTCTGCCAGGGCACAGTGGCCCGTAACCAGGCTACAGCGGACAGTACAACACGCTGCACCGCTGGAATCATCTCAAATGAGACAGCGAGAAATCAAATTACAGTAACAAAATGCTGGTAGTATCACACCCCACTGTACGGTCAGTCAGTAGTCATCACCTCACGCAGCCCTCCATCATTAGCTGGGTGTTGTCATCACCACCTCACACAAAAGCAGCTGAATGGGGAAGCTGGGTGGCTGCCCCAAGTCATCCAGCAAACTGTTGCTGCAGGGGATCAGTCGGCTTCCCTAAACAAACTGCCCTTAGTCAGGCAGCAAAGCACCTCTCCAAACCACCCTGCTCTTCAGAGCCAGCAGGCACAGGCAGGGGAGCAGCAGCCTGCAGAGGAACCCCGGCCACCGGCTTCCCCTGGCAAGCAAGGCCCCTGCCCAGATGGTGGCACAGCACCCCCTCCCGCCAGCAGCCCACAGGAGACCTCTTCGAGAGAGATGGAGACTGTCTCCTTTGGGAATGTTCTTCTCCAGCAAAGCCCTCTATAGGTGCGGGTGTGCAGCCCTGGAAGGAGAGGGGCTGTTCTGAGAAAAACTGCCCACGTAATGCTAATCCATGTTACTTGTCATACTGGAGTAAGAGGTAAGAGCTGATGTGACCAAGACCGTGCAAACAGGCTGAGCCAAGAGCCACCAGAGCCTCCTTTGTGGGGGCACATACTTACTCTGCAGACCCTCTGCACTGAGGTTCAAAGCAGCTCTCTGCCTGATCACCTTTTGGGCAGATTACCGCTGCTGGCAAGGTTCTCACTGCCTGCTGTAAACTCAACATTAGTCAGTTAATGGGATCTCAGGATTGCTCTGCTTTTACAGTTCTTTGTGCACTCTGGAGTCAGTGGGTCAATACAGGGAACCCTCTTCCACAGCAGAAGGATCTCACCAAAATCCTGTAAAACCTCCAGTTAATGAGAACTATAGCAACTAATTAAGCAGTATCACGGGCACCGTGGTGTGCCACCACAGTGCACCACCCTAGCACCCTGCTCCTTACCCTTACTTCAAGGTCTCTTTTGCAGTTCTCGTGCTCCTCCAGAGGACCAAGCCTGGGAGCCTCTGCGATGCTGTTGGGAATGGGACCTTCAGGAAGCCTGCGCTGTGGCAGTGACTAGCAAAAGACAGAATTTTCACAGCCAAATGCTCCTGGGTCCTGCAGGGTCCACGTGAGCAGCAGTTACACACAGGCCAGTTGTACGTGAGAGGCGAGCACCACTCCAACGGCTGCGCAGGTGCAGATTTGAAGGTGATAAAAATGAACGAAGAAATGCAACCTCCCAAAACCCATGCAATTATTCTTTACTGGCTTGCCAGTTCACCTGTGGTCAATCAGTCTTTGCAAACTGGCTGCTGCTCAGCTCACAAAATCCACTTGTCCTTCAGTAACCAGCAGGGTAAACCCCCCCTCCTCTGCCTGATTGTGCATTTTCTCCCTGTAATTACATGTGACATGCAGCTGCAATAAATATTTGTGCAGTCATAGCTCACAATGATAATCACCAAAAAACAACTTCGTCAGGGAACGTATATGAATGCTAGTCTAGTCTGTAGCTAGGCTGATATTTGTAATCTAATACAAATTCATTAAAGCCAGGAATCTAACAGACTAAGAGCAAAAAAAGAAGTTACCCCTACTTTTAATGGAAAAAGATAACTGTGCTATCCATATACTGAGGCAGCCTTGATAGGCTGAATTTAAGAAATAATCTGATTGCCACTAGATGGCACATCTCAATTACTAATCTATGTTTGAATCAAGGACAGCTTTTATTTTTTTTAGGAAGATATTCCCTCTCTTTGCTAACATAACACTTTATAATCATGCTTGCTTTCTATTTTTAAATCAGACAGCTTAAAAAAAATAAGAACATATAGGAAAAAAAAATTAACTAAAAATACACCATCTGCCAGTGAAAATCTAGCTTGATTCTGTCACTTCTACAACCAAACCAGGTTAATAAGCAGCATCACAGATGGTTTCTTTATATATATAAATACGTACATCTCCCCACAGTGACTCCCTGAGCTGCTTCCTGAAACTGCTGGCGCTGCGTTACCTCGTTTCCTAGGCGATAGCTGTGCCTTACGCTCAGCCTGGACGGTATGCAGCTGGAATGGATTTCAGAAGATGCCAGCCCCTGCCTGCGGCTGTTTCCAATACCAACAAGGGATGCAGCGGTGGACAGCCACATCTCTACCAAAGAACAGCAACAGATGGATATGAATACATTCTCATGCAGCTGGTCTTTTCTCAGATGATCAAATCTGCTGGAGGGTTCTTTTAAGTTGCCCAAATCCCCACATAAGGCTACATAACAAATATCACGGTGGCCTTGATACGACAGCATAGGGCTGTAGTCAGAGCAATAAAGGTGGAATTTGGTCTTTCTGCAGCATTCAACAGTAAGAACTGATGTTGTAGAAGTCACTTTCTAGCTCAAATAGAATCCAATACATCGCAGTAGGAGCAAGGCCTGTTGGAACCTTAGACTGCAAGCCTTGAACCCAGATACGCTGACCGTATGCTGAACTCTTACTTAGCCACCTGAAGGAAGGCCCTGAAACCGGGGCAACCCAGGAAGGTAAGGTAGCCGGAACAATCAGCAGAAGCTGCAGCTAATCAAGGTAAGAAAAAAAATGACCTGCCTGGAGACTGGGAAAGGATCCAATAAGGAACAAGAAGACCCCAGACCCAAATATTACTATTGGACTGAACTGTCGCATGAGGGGAGGGGAACTTAGACTGTAAGGGTACAATTGCCCAGGGATTCCTTTGTTCAGAGTCCCGCTCCGAAGGCACCCAGCTCAAGCTGCCCTCCACCGCTGTACCACTCAATAAATTCACCTGGCGTACGTCGTGTCTGAGACTCTGCTTCAGGGAAACCTAGGGTTGAGCCTGAGGGGAGAGGAAGTGCCCGAGGGTGTGTTGTGGTCTAACCCCAGCCGGCAGCTAAGCCCCACACAGCCACTCGCTCACTCCCCCCTGGTGGGATGAGGGAGAGAATTGGAAGGGTAAAAGTGAGAAAACTCATGGGTTGAGATAAAGACAGTTTAATAGGTAAAGCAAAAGCCGCGTGCACAAGCAAAGCAAAGCAAGGAATTCATTCACTACTTCCCATGGGCAGGCAGGTGTTCAGCCATCCCCAGGAAAGCAGGGCTCCATCACGCGTAACGGTCACTTGGGAAGACAAACGCCATCACTCCGAAC